GGGTGAGGGTGTGACACAGGAGAAGCTCAAGCCTGTGGTCTTCGGATTCTATCTTCGATTTTACTAACCATGCCTGAAATTTAGCATTTCCTTCCTTTATGAGTGTGAGCAACAAACCACAGCAGTGCCAGCAACAACCAGGACTTTTTCAGCGATTGAAACCACTGACATTTTCTTACTATATTTGCATTGTTATAGCTATCTAGAATATCATTTACACTTATCATTACTTCAGAACCACAGTAGTTTAATAGACCTGCCACTAGATCTTATTATTTAATGCATTAATAAAGAAGCACATAGCCTACTATAGCCCAGATATTTTAACACTTTGAAAACTATATTTCAGTGTCATCAGTTTTGTCATACTATGTATTTTTTTGCATTTAAAACCTTATCCTGACACTCATTAGAATGGCTGTCATTTAAAAAAAAAAAAACCAGAATAACAAGTTTTGGTAAGGATGTAGAGAAATTAGAACCCTTATGCATTGCTCACAGGAATGTAAAATGGTATACTTGCTGTAAGAAAATTGTTCGATGGTTTTTCAAAAAGTTAAAAGAATTATCATGATCCAGTAATTCCACTCCTAGCAATATGCCCAAAGGATTGAAATCAGAGACTGAAACAGATAACTTATACACAGTTATTCATACAACATTATGCACAATGGTCAGAAAGTGGAAACACCCCAAGTATGTAGCCTAGTTCACATCTCCGATGTAAATAAGGAAAAATGGACTGAAAAAGCAAGCCCCAAATTCTGGAAGAGAATTTTGTGTATATCAGCAATAGATCCAATGTAAATATAAAATATTGAGAATGAATTGTTTACCATTTTTATGATGAGAAAATATTTTGTAATATATTATTAATTGACAGGACAAAAAGGGTTGAATTTCAGGGCACCTTATGAAATTATTGTGTAACGTAGAAACCCATCATTTCCAGACAATTGGGCCTATCCATTTAACACCAAGCATTTTTTAATCTAATGATATTTATTACACTTGTATTTTGAAAAGATCACTTTGGCAGCCAGGGCCTCATGTATGGTTGTGCAGGTTGTACACTGCACAAGGAGACACATTTAAGGGAGTATCATTCACACCATGGACCTAAAAGAACTGTATATTTATTATGAGCATTTCCAGCAGATGGCAGTAAAGGGTCTTGTTATAATGAAATCAGAGAAGTAAAGTATCTTGAGGAAAGTGCATCTTTTTCTGATCTGCACTAAGGCACCTGTGGGCTAGCAGTGGCCTTGTTGGCATGGATCTGGAGGAGGACAAAGCTGGGAGCAATGAAACCATTTAGACAGCCATTGCAGTTATCTGGGCTGGAAGAGAAGAGAGTCTTAACTCAGGTCATGGCAACGAGCTTGGAGAAAAGGGGCAAAGGTATGTGAGATTGATGAGGCTGGGAGGAGGGAGGAGGAAGAAGAGGGAGGGGTAGGGAATGACTCCTGGGACTGCATGTAGATGGAGCTGCCAGTCCTAAGGGCGAAGGTCAGAGCAGGTTTGGGGTGGGGGTGAATTGGATTTGGTAGTGTGGTGAGTTTGATTTACCTGTGGAACACCCAGGTGAGGGATTCCAGGTGACATCACAGCAGAGCGGAAGGTGAAGACCTGACCATATGGGCAGGTGGGTGGAAACAAGTCATAAGTAGGCCGGGTTCCCACAGAAGACTGCATAACCTAAGCAGAGCAGAGAGCCCAGACAGAGCCCCATGGGCACTGTTACCCAGTGGGCAAGCGAGCAAGCAAGAAGGGGTTGGAGAAGAAGACAGTCTTGAAGGAGTGGCCACTCACTCCATGCCCTCCTTCCACCTCTCCCTTTAATGTGGTATTTCTCATCCGCTGGGAGGTGGGACTTTCGATGTTTATTTAGAGTGTGTACGAAATGAGAGGACACTGGCTCTTCCAAAATAACTTGCATGGTGAGCCTTCCAACATCCCTTTTGGCTACAGTAATCACTCTTTGTACTACCAGATACTCAGCTGCATTCCAAATGGTTACTATTGCAGGAAGTAAGACTTCTAAGAATTGAGAGGTTTGCTATGGAAGTTTATAAAGTTCCATAGATGTCTCCACCACTTAGCGAAATAGTGATCTTCCCACAAAATTTTCAGTGAAATAAATGTGTGCTATAAAAATACAGTTTTTCTATTTATTGCCAGTAGAAGGATACTTATGTTCTCAAGATCAATAAAATCACTCAAGAATGTAGCAACTATAACCTGGAAAAGTTGGCATGAGAATTAATTTGCAATGATTTAACACTTTTCATTATGGAAATGCCATATAAATATTTAACCCTAATGCTTATTTTATAGTTCATGTGCATATATTTGTCAGAACAGCATTTGAAAATATTAATGACTAATGTTATTTCAAACATTTGAATGGTGACATCTCTGTCCCAAGGAATGTTCAGACTAAACATCCAACAGAGAAAAGAACTCCTTGGTCTAGAGTTTCTGCTGTGTATTAAGAAGTTTCTTTTGTTTGTTTTGTTTTCTTAAGAAAATAAAGCTCTACCTCTGCTTTTACACTAGAGCACATGATCGTGGTTTTTTTTCTTATAACTGATTTTGGAAGGGCTTGTCCGGGAGCCCAGCTGCACCCAAGCCTCACCTTCTGCCCAGCTTCGTGCCACCTGCTGAATCGCTGCCTTTAGTCTCCTGTGCTATGTTTGATTCTGGCAGATATTGTCTCTGAATCTCATGTCTGTGCATCTCTCTGTCAAGCTGAAAATATCTGACCTTCGGGGACTTCGTGAAGGCTCCAAGGATGTTGGGCTTCCCATTAGCCCTGCCTCTCATGCGGACGGCTAATTTAATGAACTTGGGACGTGCAGGTGACAGAGGCAGGAGAGTGGTGGTCCAAGATGCTAAATTAAATTCGATTGCTCAGAAGCTTAAAATTGGGAGGCTCCTTGGCCCCCCTACCCATCTAGGGAAAGGGGCGAGTGGAGTGCACCTTCCTCTCAAGTGTGGGTCCCCTGAGATGAGCAAGTGCAGGAAACTCCTTTTTATTTCGAACAATGGGGAGCTGCACATTTTAAGCTAGAGTCATAAAGCAAGCCTGTTATTGAAAGCTTTATAACTGCATTTCTTTTTGATGGGTACACTTTTTAAGAGAAAGAATGGGTTGGGCAGCAGTCTGAATGCAGCAAACCAGTTTATCTAACATGGCATTGATTTCAAATACTCTGTCCCATTGTCCCAACAAGTATGTTAACACTTCTCACAATGCAGTGTCCCAATCTTTGATTCAGATAACACAACCACTCTATAAATAAATTGTTGGTAAACACAATATTCATTGCTTAATAACCTGGAAAGGATGTTGTGAGGTGAATTAGCAGTGATTTAGCACATTTCATTATGGAAATGCCATATAAATATTTAACTGTAATGCTTATTTTATTCTAATTTTTTGTTAATTATATTTGCTTAGTTAATGTGGCATACTTATGCCAAGTTTTTATTTTATGAATGATGGCAATTTCATGTACTATTTCGTTTGAAATTAGGTTGATTGTAAAGACTCATACAGAATTACCTGTTAATTTTAGGGTTTAGTATTTATGCGATTGAACCAGCAAATCCCCCAAGACACACACATACATGCCTGTCCACACACATCACACACAACAAATTTATGCACACATGCATATGTACACACTTCCTCCCATGTATTAGTGAGACAGCTCATTGTCACAGTGCCTCCAGCTTTCTAAGGGAAGAAATATTTCTTTATAGACTCACTTATACTTTTGAAGGAAGACAAAATTGATTTAGCAGAGCATCTTTCCTAAATTGAAGAAGAAAGAAAAATAAAATAAGACAGAGGATGAAGGAGAAAGCGTACAGATAAAATAAACCAATTCTATAGATTTAAAATTTTTACGACTCAAAAATTTTGATAGCACATGAAGTAGTTTTAGGAAAATTCCTTTCTATCATTTTTTCACATTTACAAAATGACATATTTGTTAAACTCAGAGCCATGAATAGGTCCTGCGGGATATGTGGAAAACCCCAGAGCCCCAACATACCTTTCTTCTCAGGTCTCATTCGTACCCACTAGGAATTCATTTCTCAGGTTAAGCATTTCTTTGTCCCATAGTATAAGTCAGTTCTTCCATCCACTTTCCTTGAGGACAAGAGAGTCCTGGGACATCAAGTGAAGAGGAAAAGGAGATTGTGAAAGAGGTCCCAGTGGATACGAAAGTCAGACTTTACCTACATGACATTTCCCTTCCAGGATGGCCCTTCTGTCTGTACACTGAAAGCAGCTCAGGTCCTATTTAGGATTCTGTTTTGGTCAGGATTAACTTCTCTCGACAGTGGCTTAAACAAGAGAGTTTATTTTTCTTTTATACAAAACAAGTCTATAGACGTCAGTCCAGGTGGTAAGTAGGCTCCACCATCATAAGAGACTCTAGTTTCTTCTATCTTGTTGCTCTATCATCCACACTTCTTCCTCTTGGTCAAAGATGGCTGCTCAGATTTCAGCTATCATGTCCTCAGTTGGCCAGTAGAAAGGAAAGAAGGTCACAGTCCCTTCCTTCATGGGTGGACACTTCCCAGAAATACCATACAACACAACTGCTTGCCTTCCATTGGCCAGAACTTAGTCACATGACCACAGTTATCAACAATGGAGATTAGGAAATACTGTCTCCATTACTTCCTGTGGTTATGGGCTCAGTAAAAAATCAGAAGTCCACAAACTAAGGAAGATGGGGGACAATTAATGTTGAGAGACAACTAGAAGACTTTGTCACAGGATCATATATCAGGTCTTGCTAAATATGTTACTTGTCTGTAACCTGAGTTCTTTTCAGCTTTCTGGATGTCTTTCCAGACCCAAACATAAAAATCACAAAGAATATATTTGATCAAACTCAAGGACCGTTTCCAAAGAAAAGTTTTAGAAAACTCAGACCCCATTCCGTGATTGCCTATTAACTCCCCGCCTGTAATTTCAGCGGAAATTCTAGAATTGGCTGGGAATGCCGCAAGGGACAACAAGAAGGCCCGCATAGCCCCAAGACACATCCTGTTGGCAGTTGCCAATGATGAGGAGCTCAATCAGGTATGTCTGAAGCACTGACATATGCCACCAGGTGGATTTG